GGATATGTTCTTGATATAGTATCAAAATTTCAGCCGTATGTTCTTACGAATTTCGCCTCTTTAATTTGAATTTTCTCATTGAGAGCAATGGCTTTTAACCCTGTGGGCGTTGTGCACAGACCACCGTTGCCCGGCAACCTGATATATGATAAATGTTATAAAAATAGTCACGAGTTCGCTCCCCGGTGCCAAGGCGTCTTTTAAATCTATGCCCACACCCTCTGGCCTGGGAAAACCCCTTATATCCTTAACGCCAAGGAAGGGGAGGACCCAAAAAAAGAAAAAAAAAAATGGCTTTTAACCAACTGACCAAAGTTGTGTGTCCAGATGATGTTTATTCAGAATTTAAAATGGTTACTAGTTTTAAGTCCTTCTGTTAAAAGAAATGGTCAGAAGCTCCTAGTCTATAAACCCTCCACACAGGAAAGGTTGCTATATAACTATACAAATGTACATGGAACTCCTTTCCAGAGTCTATATTTAAAGCATATCACACATTTGTGGGTTCATGTCTATCCACAGTTCATAAATGACAATATAACTTCAGTCAAATACCTTACAATTAAATTTTTGGAAGAAAGGAGGAAAATAAACTCCCATAGACCCCATCAATGCCTGAACGATTTAAAATTTACTAAAACAAAAAGTACTTTATTCAAGATATTACTTCTAAACTTTTGACTAAAATAAATACATAAATTATAATTTAATATGAATATGTTTGAAAAAATTGTTATAATTATTTTCTTGAAAATTTAAATATCAGAATTAGAATAAAAAGATAAGGTAAAAATCAGGATAAGGTAGATTCAGTCCATTAAATTATGTCACAATAATCAACTCCCATAATTGAATTCTGTGGAAAAGCACTGGTATACTGTCACTTAGCTGACAATTATAATCATTTTTTGAAAAAGCAATATCTTTTTACATATTTTTATATATAAAAAGTTTATTTTAGTAATCAATTCATTATATACTTTATTATGTAATTAATCATCCCATGTTTCAGAAAAAAATAATTAAAAGCTTTTTAATAATTTATAGTAAGTATTGTTACTTATAGGGGAAAAGTTTCACATCACAGCATAATTATTTTAGAAAAATGGAGACAAATCTCAGCTGATGCTGTAGTAAACCTCAACTCAATTAATTTGTTCTTAATGCTCATTAAACTAGGAAATTTTTCAAAAAGTAGGGATTCTGTAATCAGGATATTTAGTTGCTTGAAAGCCCTCTTAACAAAACTTTAACAAAGAAAAATTTCACTTATATAATGAAGAAATTGTCTAGTTTATTATTTTGAAATTTGTAATTATCTTAGTTAAATATTTGTTTAGTTATCGCTCACTTCCTATTTAACAAAAACAGGACTTGTTGAAAAGCACAAAATATATAATTCTTGCTTATTTCTGAGGAATTGAGCCGCAAGTTTTTTTGTTTTTTTTCTTCAGTGATCTACTATCCCCTCATTAAATATTTCGCATTATTTACTGGATAAGTATAATATACTTGAAGAATATCACTTGTTATTTATTTTCCTTTGGAAATCATAGGCATTTGCACTACATCAAAGGTCATTAGTTACACGCAAATTTGTGTTTTCAGGATCTTTATAAACTATTATGCAATTTTGAGATATGTTAGTTATAAATATATATATATGTATATATATATATATATATATATATATATATATATATATATATATATATATATATATATACATATATATATATATATATATATATATATATATATATATATATATATATATATACATATATATATATATATATATATATATATATATATATATATATATATATATATATATATATATATATATACATATATTTCCTGCTACATTTACACACCCTCAGAGGCTTTAGCTGAACCAAATTATCTGAAATTCCGTACAGTTAGTTCCATGCAGAACAATACCATTAAAGTTTGGAAAAATTTAGGCACTTAAGAATCATTCTTTCCCTGTTTTCCAAGTGACCTGCATCTCTACAGCTCCTCCAAATAAAGTTGGAAGGATGAGATTCTATATGTATATTAAGTTGGTTATGGAAATGTGTGTTTTGGGGTTCTTATCGCCTGCAAAACATTTTTCTATAGATTGTAGCACTAAAACGGATTTAACAGTTTTTGTAAAACCTTCCTTAAATTGAAACCATATAAATCTATGTATATAACATACTTCCCCAAAAAGGGTTTGAAAAAAAAGTTTTGATGATAACAAAATTTTATTTGCGAATAAATGAAAAACGATGTATTTTTTGATAATTTTTACTAGAGCATATTTCAAAGGTGATAAATATTTTTCAAGATAATGTCATTTCCTACAAATAAATAAATAAATCATTGAAATTGGACCACTTGTTGCAGAGATGTTGCATTTTGAATTTTGAAAACATTTTCTCTTAGAAATTTGCTCTCCTTTGTTTTGTATTTTATAGATAAAAACTCTAAACTTATTGGTAAATTCCTAATTACAACAATTATTGTAATTATTTCCATAGCTTAATAAAAATATATATTTTAAATAAATATTTTCAAATTAATCCAACCTCATTGAAAAAAATTTTCCCGATGTGGTAAGCAAAGTTGAGTGTAGGGATATTTGATTTAAATTTTTGAAAATAATACACAATGTGTACTAATTGGTAACATTTTTATTTCTTTGTCCAGTATTAATGAAACAATATAAACCTCATCCATTTTTTTTTTCAATAAAAAATAAGAAGAAAGGATCTCAGTGATGGATTTCTGCTGCTTGCACATTTTATTTATTGATGTAAAGACTAGTTGCTGGAAGTAGTAGATTTTAACTTTTTTTTAGGATTGGAATGTGCTCATCTCTCAGAAACTTCATTCCACAAAAACCATGATAAAAATTTAAACAATATACTTGTGAAATGGTCGCATTTGGCAACTACCAGTACTCTTAACAAACCTATTTGCACAATCATTTTTTGTACCACCATTCACAAAATGCCGGTATCTCTTTATCTCAGTTTGGTGAAAATTTATTAGAGAATCTTTTGAAATTCCATCCTCATCACTAATTTTTTTGTGTCTCTTCTTACTTGTAAGACAATTTGTTAAAATAATAAGAGATGTATATCCGGAAAGAGGACATGGTTTATCTTACAGAACAAATAACAAAATTAGGAAAGATTATACAATATTTTGATTTCTGATTTTTTATATTAAATATACAATATTTTGATTTATTTATTCCTTATTAATAAACAAATAATGTTAAATATATTATTTTGAATTCTTTTTTTATTAGTTTATTAATAAAAATTAAATGAATTTAATACATAATGAATTTTGTGAACTTTATTATTTATTCCTGTTGGTACTCGTTTATTTAGTACAATCATAACATTTACAAGGTTAGATGTATATATATTATAGTATATATTTGTAAGTATGGTATTTTCAAGGCATTAGATAGGACAAGAGCAAATAATACAATGTGTCCTCTTTAAATTTTTAGTTTTAATCAAAGAAGAAATATAGTTATATATATTTATATAGAAATATTTTAGTTTTTTTTTTTTTTATACCATTATATGTAATTATATTTCTTTCTACGTAATAACTTAAAATTTAAAGAGGAAACATTGTAATATGTGTAATAAATTTTTCTTCTGTTTGCGGGTTTAGTTACTGTTGATGGGTTGACAGATGGGTTCAACCAATTTCATATTATTATTTAAAATATTTAAACATTTTCTGACAATGTGTGCTGTGTCTGATGTAAAAAGAACTGACTTTTGAGCCATTCTTAGCACATCAAGAGGTAATATGAAACCAGCTGTGCCTGGTTGCGAAGGAACCACAGTAAACTTCCCATATTAATTTAAATTAAATGAAGAGTAAAACAACACAGCTGCGATCTCGAGCATACTGACAATATATCTCAGTTGTTAAGCAGAGTCCGCCATTACTGAAGCATAGATGCTCACATAGAGTAAAAACTCACTAGGCTGTCCAGTAAGAAAATTAAGAATTCTCCTGATATGATAAACATGGAGTAAAAAGCCACAGCAGACAACAAGGAGCCAAGAAAGGAAGAAAGAAGAAGCATAAACAAAAAGACTGACCAATAGAAGGAAGGAAAATCCCAAGTATCCCAACCCACCTAAATTTAAACATTATATAAAATCCAAAATTACCTAAAATAAAGCAATCGATTTTATATTACCATTTATTTAATCCACTAACTCCTTTAATTTTACAGTCCTAGCAAAAAATTCTATACCAGCAATTAAAGTATAATTATTATGTCAATATTCCTAACAGCCATGGAAGGAGTTGGTATAATAAATTAAACACTGGTTCTGTTGACTTTGGTATCAGCTCATTTGTTGATATTACAATTGGTGTGATGGTAATGCTTTCCAAATGATATATTTCCTATAATTTGATCACCAGTTCCTAATATTTGTAGTTTCTCTCCCTCAGCATAGCTTATATTATTGTTATTGGGAATTAAAATTTATCCAGTGTTGTTTCACGTTTTAGAATTCATCTTGTATATGATCTGGTGGCAATAACCTGATCTTGAATGGCAATTAAAAATACTTCTGCCTCTGAGAATAACTTTCCAGCTTTTAACCATTCGATCGATCTTTCCTTGTCAATGCAATTATCATTCAATTAGCAGTAGAATCTCCCATACCAACCAATAGAATAATCCACAGAAGGAGTATTTAAATCTATTTGATTTGGTAGGGACAAGCCATCCCTTCGAATCTCATTGATCAAAACAGAAGCAATGTTCTAGATCTTTCTAACAACTTTTGATATCAAAAACTTTAATAATATTAAATTTAATAAATTATAACCATAACATAAAAGCAAACGATATCTGTGCAAAATCACTACAACATATATAATAAAATGAAAAAGTAAATGAGAAGATAAAACATCTAAATAATAATTTTTGGACTAGAATTAAACATTGATTTTTTTTTTAGTTGGTGGTAGCAATCGTGCTTCATTGTGATGGAGGTGAATGGTTTGAGAAATGGAAAAAGAAGAAGAAGAAAGGGCACCATCACGATGAGTATGTATATATAAAAATAAAATAATAATTTTTTTTGTTTTTGATTTAGAAAATTAAGAAATTAAGTGAGTCAATTTGTCATAAAAACAGAGAAAACAAAACTTTAAAAGTAAAGTTCAATTGAATTAACTCTGCAAAAAAGCATTAAAATGGTGGTTGTTTAAAAAAATGAATAAACAAAAACAATAAATTTATTGTTGCGTTAATTTTTTAAAAGACTTATTCATTTGTTTTAATTCTCTACTCCATTTGCAACTGCACCGTAACGAATCTAGCAAATTTGATGTATCTGATTGTTTTGTGTGAATTTTCTTGATAATGACTTTAATTTAGTTATTGTTGAAGGAGCAGCTCTCAAGGCATTTTTCTTTTTAATCTACATGGAGCGGGTAACAGGAATGAGAAAATTGAAAGAACGAGTGGATTGAGGTGATTTTGAGTTGAAGAGTGAAATATTGTGTATTTGTTTGTTGAAATATTGTTTACGGTTGAAATGTTTAAGTTGTTATTTGAAATATGCCATGGTGCATCAATAATTTTTGTAAGAATTTTTATTGTGTTGTTTGTTTTCCTGAACCACAAAGTCCTACAAGGTATGTATATATTCGTCTCAGTATAGTGTTGTAGATTAGTTAAATGAGGATCTGTAGTCCAAAAGATGTGAGAGTTGGTTAAATCTACTTGGTCTGTTCAATTCTTATCTTTTTAATTTCATTTTTGATATAAGTTTTTTATCTATGTAGAGTTCAAGGTACCATACAAAATATTTTTGTACGCGCTGGTTAATTTTAGTTTTCCATTTATAGAACCACTTTTTGATGTCAAATAAATAGTTTTGAAGGCCAATAGTTGTTAAAATTGAATTTTTGTGGAAAGTTAGTATTGCTATATCAGCAAAGGTAAAGATGGTGGTGCACAAGTGCCCAAGAATAACAGAGGTGTATAGAGAATAGATAATTGGGCTTAAAACACTACCTTGTAGTATGCCAGCATGTTGAGGGAAGAAAGAGAAAACTGATGAATCTACGGAAATAAAAGAAAACTGTTAAGAAAGGAGGATTGAAGAATTAAAACACAATTGTGGTTTTAGTTACCATAATAGACCCTTATGCCAGACACTATCATAGGCTTTTTCGAGGAGGAAGGAAAGGAAAATAGGTTAAGCATGAAATGGAGTTACGTAAGAAAAAGAACATCTTTTAGATGGTGAAGAATAAAGGAAGTATAGCTTGCCTGGACATTGGAGAGATTATTGATCGTCTTTTTTCATCAGAACACGTGTTGTTGTTGTCCATTCTGATCCATTTCTATTGTTTATCCAGTCTATATAGTCCTTATAGATGTCATTTTTAAATGTTAATAACTCTTCATAAGCAGATATGAATCAGATTTAGTATACGTCTTGCTGGTGTCACCAAATCCCAAACTGCATTTTGTTTAGTTTTTACTAAGCCGTCGACTGCATTTTCAAAGTCGTAAGCTGTTCTAGTATGATTTTTCCAATGTTGGGGATAATTCTTTAATCCATTTGTGGATACATCAATGCTGGGAGCAATACATACTGAGACAATCATGAGCTGGAACTTCGGAAGTGGGGAAACAGTGGTGTACTGTACAGAACTCGTTGGGATAGCAGGAAGTAAGTTGTGATTCTAGCATTTGTTTACAATGATTAAAGTACCTCCATGTGCCATGTGGTCTGGATGATAGAAGATTTTCAGGTATGTCAGAGAAGCTGACAAAAGATAAAGAAGGGGTAATAGAAGGTGGGGAAGAATAATTCCCTGTTACCTTAGTCAATGAACCTGGTATTTTAGCATAGAACCTGGCATGCTAGCATAGAAGTTAGTATTCTAGCATAATAGCATAACTAATAATATTATTAGCTCAATATTTTTCTTTATGCTCCAGGCTCCGTTGACACATACTGAGCCTTAAATTATTTTTAATATTTTCCTCCCGAACCTTAGAAGAAGGGCCTATGTTCTTAAATATCAAGTATTCAGAGGCATAAGTGAGGACTAGTCTTATAAGAGAGTAATGTATGATTGCATCTTTGTAGTACGAGTAATAGCCAGGCCTTTGAAATGTTTCAGTAATCCAAAATTGTTAAAAACTGCAGTGCAGTGCTTAACAAGCTTGCTCAGCATAACAAAATGCTGTCGAGTGGGTGCCTGGTCACTCAGGCATTCCAGGTAATGAAGAGGCTGATAGACTAGCCAAGTTAGGCTCAGATACTATATCAACAACTCCTGAACCTGTCTGTGGAATAAGGCAAAGCACTGCCAAAAGAAAGATAAAGGACCTTTATGGGACTAAGTTCAAGCAGTATTGGTATGGCAAGAAACAGCGACATTCGAAGCTGTTCCTTGAAGGGTCCTGAAAAAAAAAATCATCATGCTGAGAATGAAACAGCCTATCGCATTGTATGTCAGTGCTGCAGATTTGCAAGGCTCAGACTCGAGCTGTTTGATGAAGACCGAGTGAGTGACCCCAAGACCTATGAGTCGATTAATCCTATAATCCTATAATTCACAGTTGCAACAAAATTAATTTTTTAATATAAAACGGCTTTTACATGGAGCACCATAGACCTCTGAGGTCATGGTGCACTCATGCCAAAATGGGAGAAAAATAAAATAAACCTAAATTGTATTTATTTGCATACATAATTCTATGATGGATTTCTGCTTGTATGTCATTGTCTGCATTTACTTTTGAACCCAGATAGACAAACTCTTTCACCTATTCAAATGAATAGCCTCCTTCTAAAAAGAGGAATGTTCCTGCACATCCAGTTGTGGGGCTGCATGCACGAAGTTGGTTTTGAATTCATTAACTTCCAAATCCACTCTACTATCTGGAGACTGACAAAAGCATTTTCCAAATCTGTAGTGGTTCTTCCAATAGTGTCATCGGTGAAGGCCAGAATCATAGTAGATCTATTGAATATAGTTCACAACTTGTATTCCAGATTTTCTTACCGCACTTTCAAGGGTTTTCCAGGGGAAACAGTTTAATAAATGTTGGATCAAATTCCATCAAAATTTTGGCATGACTAAGCATTTCCTCCCACCCCTGTTTTAGTAATACGTATCTCCAAATAAGTTAGAAGGTTGAAATTTTGTTTGCTAATTAAGTTAGTATTAGAGTAGTTTTATTGGTAGGAGGGGTCTCAACATTGTTCTTCACTTCCATTTTTTTCCCAATTTTTTTTTGCTCTTTCTCGCCTTTTAGACAACATGGGATTTCCTCAGGCCAGGGATTTAGAGCGGGGAATTTATGCCAGAGTTAAAAGTTCCTCCCTCCCCGGCACCGGGACACAAACTCGTAATTATATTATCATAAATAATTTTCCATCAGGCTGCTGGGCAACGCAGTGCAGTGCACACGCATTAGCCCACTCAGCCACCCTCTAATTTTTCAGTCTTTCAGCACTTCTACAGCCCCTTAAAATTGGTTTTGAGAATTGAAAATTTTTAAAGAAAAAATTAGACCACTTTTCATCTCTTTCTCCCCTCATCTCCTCTCCCTCAAAAAATAATGGGATAGCATAACTTCAGAGACAGAACTCTACTGCTTACATTATTTTAATTTTTATAACTATGTTTTTACTAGTTTTTAGTTGTAACTATGGATAAAACCAAGTAATTTTTGGCAATAGGAATAACTAATACTTTCATTAGTAAAAAAGCTAGTTACTTGTTTCAGCTAACAGTTAATATAGTTATAAGCATTATCTATAAGTGAACTGATAATGGCTGATCTTTTACTATTCATCTGTTGCCGATATAATTAATTTATCTACAAACGTCGGTGAATGTGAAAATAAATATAATTATTTATTTTTATTTTGACTGAACATACCAACCATCCTTCTCTTCAATTATTCACTACAGTCAACCATCAACCCACAATATCTATCTATAATTTTTAGTTGTTATTTACAAATTATTTTTGCCCAACTCTGACTGTGCTACTATTAACAACTGTCCAATCAACACCTTAAAATTTCTTTTTTGTTAGGATGATTATGACTAATAGCTATAATTCTAATTAGTACTAATTACTTTCATACATCCTTGTATAAAATTAAAACTATTGAGAGGGCTGAAGCATAGCATCTAATTATTTTCTGTAATAAGAAATTCAGGTCTATATTAAGCAAGTGTTAAAAATAACATTATTTTTTTTTTATTGTTATTTTTAATTGTGAAAGAAACGATAAATAAATGGTGGAGTCAGTAACTATAATTTATCGGAAATAGTTAATTTTAGAAAAAATATTGTTCGTAATTTAAAATAATTGCTTTATGTTTTGATTAACTGGAGAATTTACTGTAAAGCTCTTCATAAATGTAAATCTTAGATTAAAAAAATAATATTTTGTACCTTATTGAACTGGATTCCACAATTATTATGTTTAATGAAGAGAAGGATAGTTGGGGTGATTAGCCAAAAATAAAAATGGCAAAAATAAATAATAATATTTATTTTAATATTTGCCGACCTTTTGACCCGAAGTTCAGGCCTTCATCAGGGCGCTATTGATCGAAGATATCGCTATTCGTTTAATTTATCAATGAATCGCTATTATGTTTAATGTATCAATCAGTTCATTAATTCATTATAATTATTTTATTACATTATTTATTTTTTCTTTTGTTCTAGACCAAGCAGGATCGTTCTCTATATTCCTGAAATTATTAATAAAATTAAACATACACACACAATCATTGTACACAAAAATGAAAAAAGAAAAGATGAAAACCTAGATCATCACTACAAAGGAAAAGTATACCATCACCATCATCATGATGGAAAAGTGGAACATATTCATAAACACCATGGAAAGTCAGAACATGAGCACAAACACCATGGAAAATCTGAGCATAGTCACAAACATGAAGGAGAGTCAAAACATTTACATAAGCACAAGGGAACCTCAGAACATAAGCATGATCACCATGGACATGCTAAACATGAACACAAGCATCATGGTCATAAAGATCATAGTCTTCACCCTTATGCTCAAAGAATTTTTACTAAACTTCCTCATATATACCATTCCCAAAAACATGGTCATGGGTATCAATCTTTACACCACTATGTACACACAAGTGCAGGATAGGAACACAGTAAATAAAAAATTATTCTGCAAGATAGATAGAAATAGAATATAATAAAAGAAAAAAGAATACATTTATAGAATATAAAATTTCAATAAATATCCAATATTGTTTATTAACACTTGTAATGAATCATCTAATAAAAAAATAATTACAAAACCAGCACTTTATTTTCTGCTTATTTTCACAAATAATTATAACTTTATTTTCAAAAACTAAAGGTTTAATTAATAAAATATAGATAATTCAGATTTTCTATTCAGTCATGCTACCATTTTATATTTTATAGATTTGAAAAGCATGATTTCATTAAGTTGTGAAATATTGAAAGGATTATTTTTATAGAATTTTATAACATTTATGTTTTTTAAAAAATATTATTAATGTGATTCAATTTCAGTTTCCTAATTTTCAAGTTGATGAGATATATAGTTTATAGTTTAACATTATTAAATATAAACTTCAATGCTTGAAAAATTGTGGTAATTAATTAAAAGATATGAGTAAAACTATTTTTGTTTACATTTCAATTGAATCAAAATAATCACAGTTGAAAATGGGTGATTGATTAAATGTTTTCATTTCTCCCTTAATTCCTTACACAAATAACCAGAATAAAACTTGGAAAAGATTATTATATATCCATGTTCTTTTCAGTAAGAGGAGAGAGTATTTTTTCATAGCTTAATTTCATTAATCAACAGCTCAGCATTATTTATTTTGGCTAGAGAGCCATACATCAATTATCCTGCATACAAAGCAACAAAATATATATTTATACACCTTTTTTTTTTTTTTTTACTTTATCATGCCTTCTACAGAAATGGTAGATTATTATTCTACCACTATCCACTAATTGACTATCTTAGTCTTGAAAATTTGATGCTCCTAATGCTGTTCTCCAGGGTAATTTTCTAGTGTATTCAAAATTCAACCATAAATAAAATAACTACAGGCATCCTACAGCTTTTATCAAATACTGACATTTTTTTTCAAAATTAATAAATATGAGATGTTTCGGATATACTTATTTGACTATTTGGAAATAATAAACCTTAGTGTAATAATTTGCATCATTTTTATTCTGGCCTTATGATTTTTTAAATTCTGAAATACATTTTTATATTAAGATATGCATTGACATTGGAAAGCTGAAATTTTATAAGATTATTGCAAATTTATATTATAACAGATTATAACAAAGCAAACTTAAATATAAGTTAATATTGTAAAACCACAAATATTGGAAATAATATTAAATATAAATTGTAAGAACCAAATATTGCGACAGAATATAAAAACTTACTGCCCGTGGCCCTCTAGGGCAGAGGCGAATACAAATAAAAAAAAAAATTAAGAAGTAATAATAATTGATTTCCAATAGGAAAAATATTTACAAAAATAAGCTATTCTGATTTTAATATGCTTTTTGTCATATTAAGATCGGCACAGCTTCCCTTTTCTTTTTTATGTTAATTTGCCCTTTATTTCCCAAAATAACTATGAAACATTAAATATAAAAATTATTTATTATCGAAAATTTTTTTACAGTAGCAGTTTTTCTAATAAAGTCTAGTAGAGACAAAAATTAAGGATTAAAGGTTACATTTTCCAATGATGCACATTAATAAATTACATTGCAAAAACTATGAGTTTTAAGCAATTAATGGTCTCATTATTTTTTGAGTAGGAGCAACTGAAAACATATTTTTAAAAATGGAATGTTATATTATTGGTCATAATATAAATATTACTATTGCGATTGTTATTATTAAAGTAGTTAATAAAGAAAGATAAAATTGGCTTTATTTATTTATTTACCTTTTGTCCTAAGTAATTTGTTCATATAAGTATAATAAAATCGCTCGTGAAAGTATTAATTCAAAAAAAGATTTTTAAAAAATAATGAATTTCTACAACCTACATATATCACCCTCACAAGTTATTATTATCTATTATTTTATAATCATTATCTCGTTTGAGATTTCTAGAGACCTATTGTGTCCCATAATTAACATAGTATCAAGAAATGTAATTTTTTCACCTCTTGTTCTTTATTTTTATATAATCATTGTACCTCAGAAAAAAATGATCAACACAATTCTATGCCTTGGACTTCATGAACAATTAACAGGCATTTTTGGGTCCAACTCTAACATTTAGAATACTGTATCCAATCTTTGTTTTAAGGATTGTATAAAGGTTTTGATTGATTCGAATTGATACTTAATTTTTTTGTTAGATTTTTGTGTATGGTACTTGAGGTTGAATTTTTTCAATGAAACTTTTATTTTTAATTTGTTAATATTAGAAAATGAATATTTAAATACTGTTCAATATAAATCAACATGGAAATTGATTAATATATCAAACATATTAAACTGCAAGATTTAACAAAGTTTCATTTTTCCTGCTTATGAGCTTAGTGTAATGCTACTAACATTTTGATGTACACATCAAGACCATTAAAGCCATTGTGACATGGTTTGGATACCAACTGGCACTTTGGAGTATTTTGACAATAAAATGTAACCATCTTCAAGAATTTACCTCACTTTCATGTTTACTGCAGTATTACTTAGTTAACACTTTTATTCAAGACTAGAAGGTTGCGAAAAATGTTTGATCTTTCATCCTAATGCATATGTTTAAGCTCTTAAAGCCACATATAGCCATCAAATTCCTCCCTTATCCTATCCTTAAAATCCTCAGTACTCCATATCAAGTAACTCACAAACCATAAAGATCTTAGTATTAGATTTGTTGGAGATTTGGTACAAAATAGAAATGGCTGCTTAAAAAAAAAAGCATTAAGGTGTGTGTCTTGGACCATAAGATAGAAATGAAAACATCAACAAGGCGAGATTAATAATATTAAATAAAAATCATAAATAATATCCCATTACAGAGAGGATAAAATGCTGAACAATTTCCTCGCTTACAGTATGCATGTTTGATTCTTATTTTCTGAGATATTTTATTCCATATGAAAAAACACTTCAATAAGTGAACTCCAGCCTACTTTACCCGAATCCTAGACACCAGAGATATGACGGCTCAATCTAATTCACTCTCCCCAAAAAAAGTACAAAACGCTTAAAGAAGTTTGCACTTTAAAAATTGTTTGATATGTTCTGTGTTGCATCTAAAGCAAAGTGCAGTCATGACATTTAATTAACCATTGAGCAAACTAAGGCTCCTTTCTTGTTCCAATCATGTGTTGTTTGTCTCACATAGGATGTAAACACAAAATGGTCACACCGAATAAACTTTTGAACAATATTTTTCCGGCTAAAGTTGTTTTCTCCATCATTAATTTGTGAGATGATGAGATTGATTGACCTCAGATGGTGTCCAAACATGTCACAAAGACTTAAATGGTCTCGATGAGCACATCTAAATACCAGCACTGATTTGAAATACTAATTTTTTCAGAAAAATAGAAAATTATAAAGTTTTGCAGATGGTTACATTTAATTGTCAAGTTGTTTGAGAAGCATGATTTTTGCTGATAATTTCATATACAGCTTGCTTTAATGAACCAATGTGCATTTGTAACATAGTAGTGTGGAAGAATATATTATTTTTATAATAAAAAGAAATAAAAATAGTTATTCAAATAAGATAACAAATACCTTTTATGTTATATTGAATACTCAATGGTTGGCGATTATAAATAATTAAGGAATAGGTGGCGGTCATAAAAAGACTTAAAATATATATATATATTATTATTTTTCATAAATTTTTAATTTTTATGTTTTTCACTATTTTAGGTCTTTTTATGACCACCATTCCAGACTACCTCCTTCCACTTATCATATTAGTTTTAAATACCTATTAATTATTTATACTTGATGTGTTACTCAATTATTAGCACACTGAATTGAATTGAATGACATTTAACACATTGAACGATATTAAAAACTTTTTTTCCAATAAAGACAAGTATATTATAACTCAATCTAATTTTTTAAAAATAAACATTAAATAAATTAATAAAAAAAATTCAATCTGTAGGATCACTTAAATTTTATTAGTTTTATAGAGTCAATGTAAATGTAAAAAAAAAAAAAAATGATAATTAAAAGTTATTAATCTTTTAATTTAATAATAAAATTATTACATAAGTATAAAGATGAAAAGAAATTCCCATAAGAACGTAAAATAACTATTAAATAATTATTATTCTATAATAAAGGTATTGGTTGTTTCTCCATTATTTTTTGTTATTCATTTTTATTTTATTATTCTTTATTCATTTATAATGAAGGAATTTTAATACAAAAAATTAAAAAGAAATCCAAAAAGCATTGTAATTGGTCCAAATAACCTTTCAAGACATCAGAAAAAATAATACAAAGAAATCGACATCCTTTCTTACTCCAATGGACGACACTAGTGAAGATCCCTAGCCAAGCATGCCCATACTGATCATTGGATTAAACCTGTATTGTCACCAATAATATTATTATATTTATTTACATGTACAAATTATTTAAACTAAAAATTCTGGTGCACATATCACACGACTTTCACTTACCACCCTCTTCTTAGTAGATACAAGTATTTTCAGACAAAGGGAAAGTGAAAGAAAAAATTATAGACGCTATATTTATTTAGATTTCATTGTGGGTATTTTTATTTGTTAAGTACCCTTATATATAGAAATTATAATTTTTATAAAGAAGTAATCTATACAATTATTATGATGGGCTGATGGTGCAAATGAAGACTCGAGAAACCTGCTAGGTGTTCGAAGCTGAAGGATCGCAGCACTTCACCTAATTAACTGGTGAAACCAGCTTGAGGAGGCCAGGACCCAGTGATGGGTTGTAGGGCCAATTGATGATGATGAATCTATACAATATTAAACATTAAATATTACCAAAGATAGCATTTGCGAAAACCGCATATGTATATGTACATAATATTGTCAGAGTCCATATTATACTAAGCTCGTGTTAAATATGGAAGCCTATTCTAATACTTCAGACATGCT